ATATCAAAAGGAAGATTCTTCCATGAAATTGTCTTTGTAATATGAGAAAGCGTTAGTACAAACTAAGAAAATATATGCTATATAAAAAGCGCAAACACTTAGTTTATTTTTTCCTTTTTGTGCCCAACGTGCTTTTGAGAACAAACTTTTTTTTTTTTTTTGTGATGGAGTCTTGCTCTGTGGCCAATGCTTTAGTGCAGAGGCATGATCTTGGCTCTCTGCAACCTCTGCCTCCCAGGTTTAAGCAATTCTCCTGCCTCAGACTCCCCAGTAGCTGGGATTATGGATGAATGCCATCATGCCTGGCTAATTTTTGTATATTTAGTAGAGATGGGGTTTTGCCATGTTTGCTAGGCAGGTCTCAAACTCCTGACCTCATGATCCACATGCCTTGGCCTTCCAAAGTGCCGGGATTACAGGCGTGAGCCGCCGTGACTGGCCAAGAATGAATTTTAAACTAGAATACTGGCTATTGATTATGGGCCCTTCCCACAGATAATTTATCCTGTCTCCTAGGCTGGCTTTCTATATTTACACAGACAGCCTGGTAACATTAAAAAGAATTACTCTCACAAAGCTTTTCAATAGTGTATGTAGACTGACCAAAATCAAGAGACTTCCTGATTTCTTTGTGTGAAAGTTGGGTGACTCTGGCAGTGGATAATCTGTAAAACAAAAACCACCTAAGGATAAAGCTTTCATTTCCAAACACTTAACCACCCTTGGCTAAAATAACAACAACAACAAAAACTAAGAAAAGTATTGAATACTGCTAAGCTGAATGTTTTATATCTGTCACTTTAACTCATGTGAGTACTGGCTTGACATATCCCCAACATCAGCCATGGCAAACAGAGCTTGGCTTTTCTGCTATAATGGCCATCTATACTGAAATTTGAGGTTACAGTGAAGAGTTTGGAAGGATAAGAAGTGGACAAAAAAGTAAAGCCTATGAAAATGATAGAACTTTTCTATTTTAAATTTCTAATAATTTATAGTTAACTTAATCTCAGAATAACTATGCTTATTTCAGAATTTTCTTGTCTAGATTTTAGAAACAGTTTTAAGTAGCTAATTATTTTCCTCCTAAGCTCTCAAATGAAAACCAGTTTGTCGTATTATTTTCCTCTAAAGGATAATATAGATTCTCCAAACTTTTGCTACTGATTATTTTAGAGGAATGGCAGTGAGTCTACCCCTGTATATCACAGCTCTCAAATTTTAATGTGTAATGAAATCACCTAGGGATCTTGTTGAAATGCAGATTGTAATTCAGTAGGCATGGGTAGGTGGAACCTGAAGTTGCTTATTTCTAACAAGCTCTGCCAGGAATGTCAATGTTGGTGGTCTGAGGACCACATTTGGAGGAACAAGGCCCTGGCTTGCTATACTGTTGGGACTGTTGTAAGGTATTCCATACTGCATATTGTAGTTCCTAAAACTGTGTAAAGAATCCAATACTGGGCCGGGCACAGTGGTTCATGCCTGTAATCCCGGCACTTTGGGAGGCTGAGGCGGGCAGATAATGTAGTCAGGAGATTGAGACCATCCTGGGCAAAATGGTGAAACACAGTCTCTACTACAAATACTAAAATTAGTTGGGCATGATGGCATGTACCTGTAATCCCAGCTATTTGGGAAGCTGAGGCAGGAGAATTGCTTGAACCCAGGAGGCAGAGGTTGCAGTGAACTAAGATTGCGCTACTGCACTCCAGCTGGCAAGTGAGACACCATCTCAAAAAAAAAAAAAAGCATCCAATACTGAATATGATAGGAAGAACAACAGATTTTAATATATTACATTACCAGTTTTGAACAGTAATATATCTAGTTGTATGTTTAATACCACAGTGCCGGTTAATGATTAGTTTATTGTGAAAAAATATGTTCCCTTATTGCATTCTTCTTTCAGACGTTTCAAAATTACTTGGATTTTAGTTATCTTCTAGTTATATGCTTTTCCTGTTTTAATGTTTCTGCCTATTACCCAATTTAATAAGAAAAATGTATCAAACATGGAAAAAATGGTGGAGATAAGGAAGGATATTTATTTGATGGTGAAAAATATTATCCCACCATACTTATTTTTTATATTGCCCATCTTCTGATGGCTTTCAAACATGCTTAATTAGAAAACTATTTTTAGTGAAAAAAGGAGGTGGAAATTTTTACAATCTCCTTAGAATTTTGGGATGCATGTTTATGGTACTATTTCTACATACATATTTGGAATCTTTATTACTTCCTTCAGAAAGTTAATGAGAGCAGAGAGGATACTTCCCCCTTCTCACTGGAAAATTCCAAACATACACAAAACTAGAAAATAATAGTATAATGAACCTACATGTGGCTATCAGCCGGCTATGGCAATGATCAACTAATGACCAATCTTCTTTTCATCTGTAATCCTTCTTCCCACCTCCATCCCTGCCACTGGGTTATTTTGAAGCTAATCCCAGACATATTTTCCCTTTTCTGATGAAGGATAATTAAGTGTCCAGCCATTCTGGTGCCATTACTTACTTAGTATAGAATCCCAAATTCCAACCACCCAGTAAATACTTGAGTACTTATTCTATGACATGTACTAGTCTAGACTCATAGACTCAGCATATGTAAAACACAACATAAACTCTTGGAGAAATTCATATTAGGTACTAGCTAGTTACGTAAGGCGTGGTTTCTCACTTGTACTTATAACTTTCCAATTGCTTTCCATTGTATTACTCCAGCTTTATTACCCCACCCCCCCAAAAAAAAAGAAAGAAAGAAAAGAAAAAAAGAAAGAAAGGAAAAGCCCACAATAATCTGCTGGTCCTGCCCCCTTTGCCTTGCTGACTCATCTTCCACTCACAACATGGCTTACCCCACCCAACCACAGTGGCCTCCTGGCTGTTAGTGATTTCCTTTATGTTTACACCTCAAAATCTTTGTACTTAACATTCTGTTTGTAACACCTTTCCTTCAGATATTTGCAGAACATATTACCTTACCTCTTTAAAAATCTTTCCAGCCTCTACATATTTGTCCATATTCACATTTTTCACTGGTATTTAAGGGGTGGGAATTTCCAGGATCCTCTTATTCTCCTCTGTATTAAGAATTAATATAGAATTTATTGGTGTGAAAATAATTTAGCCTTTTGAAAACATCAGTTTACTTATCAGCCTTTCAATATATATATCAATTATTTCCAAAAGAATGCTGAAATAATAGATAAGTTATTGTAGTATTCTTTTATTCTTGATATTACTGTCATCACAAGAATGTAGGTGTATGCTTTTGTGATCATTTGTGTTTTGTGCAAATGCCACCATGCTTCTTGGCTATAGAACTATGATTTTGGAGAACTAGCAGCTAAAAGTTTTAACCGCAGCAGATCTTATACTTCAATATTATGTATGCCTCTGTTGGGTAATTCCCTGAATTAGCATTTCTCCTCTTGCAGCAAGTTAAGATAAGCTTTTTGTGAGTCTGTGTCTTTTAAATCTTGCCCTAGATTATGCTTTGTCTATTTTATTTGTGTCTATTTCACTAAGGTATAGTTTTTCAAAATACTACCATGTTCTAGCAAAAGCTCAGTGAGACTGGCATTCTCTTCACTGGTTGGGTAAGTATGTAACTCTTTCTGGGAATATGTATTAAGAAATTTATACGTTCACATCCTCTGTTTACATATGTAGGAATCTAGCTCAAGGAAATTTTTGTATGTTGATGTGTATATATAAATGTCTCTGGGTGGTGGAAATTATCAGGTTATTTTCTGCTTCTCATTCTTTTCTATTTCTTCCATACTTCTTTAATGATCATCTTTTACTTTCTTACTTCTCTTCCTGCTTACCTCCCCTCTTTTTCCTGTGTTCCTCCCAGTACTTCATTGCTTGATTTCTCTGAGTATTAAAATGGTAGGCCAGGTGTGGTGTTTTATGCCTATAATCCCAGCACTCTGAGAGCCAAAGCCAGAGGATCACTTGAGGCCAGGAGTTCAAGACCAACCTGGTCAACATTGTGAGATCCTGTCTCTACAAAAAAGATAATATTGGGCAGACATGGTGGCTCATGCCTGTAGTCTCAGCTACTTATTACACTGAGGTGAGAAGATGGTTTGAGCCCAGAAGTTTGAGGTTACAGTGAGCTATGATCATGCCACGGCACTCCAGCCTGGGTAATACAGCGAGATCCTATCTCTTAAGAAAAAAAAAAGGTTAAATGAATATGTATGAGTTTGGGGGTTATATGGGAAATATCTATATCTTTAGCTCTACTTTGCTGTGAACCTAAAACTGCTGTAAAAATAAATAAATAAATAAATAAATAAATTAAATAAATAAATAAATATTTTTAGAGATATGGAGACAGACAGACTGAGTGGTAGTTTCCAAAGAAGAGACTGAGACTTTGAGGAGATAATGTCTGGTTCATATTAGGAACTCAGTAAATGTTTTTGAATTATTTTATTGTTTTACTAAGCAAATGTTCCTATTTGAATTGAAAAGTAGGCTGTTTATAATTTGACTGTGTCATACCACTTAAGAATCATGAAAACTACTCAGGTATCTAAGAAAAATGATGCATTTCTCTGGATAAATGAATTTTTTCAGGAACCGAAAGTGTTGTTTTTCAATTAAATGTGCATTTTTATGCCTAGCATTTATACGAAGCTGCTAAGTAGACTCTCTTAAAGAATCCTAATGTCATTCCCCCAGTAAATAGATTTGTCACTGCTCTTCAGTGTACTTTTGCTATTGGCATGTACTTAGTTGTTTATTTCTTTTATTGGAAGAATACGTCATTACGAAATTCCTGTAAATATTTTTTAAAGTATCTTTTCCCTAATAACTTTATTCTTACTTGTTCAATAATTATTTGAATTGCCTCTGTGCTTTAAGGTATTATATTTTATCTTATAAATTACCACAGTATCCAAAATGGTTGTGCCCACGTCTGTTTTTCCACTGCATGGAACAAAGTGCTTTAAATCTATTTTCTTTTTCCTATAGTGGTTCCCCCTGGAAGTCCTGGGCCTATTACTCGACATGGGTCTTATGACAGTTTAGCTTCTGACCATAGTGGACAGGAAGATGAAGAATGGCTTTCCCAGGTAAAACTCTGAAATATTGGGAGTATTAAAGTAACAGAAAACAGAAATTTACTGTCTGTTTTTATCCTTTTCCTTAGAGAAAAGTGGGGAGAATTAGTAACTCTTTGTTGGGTTATCAAGAATTAGTTGTCTTTCCATATTACAGATTACTCACAAATATTGCTGCCGGTGTACATATACATATTTTACATATGTGTGTGTGTGTGTGTATGTTAGCTTCCATACACATGGCATAAAATTTGTGTATTTTTCACACAATCTATTTAAAGCCTTAGGGCCTTGGAATTAATTAATTAACTAATTAACTAATTTTTGAGACAGAGTCTTGCTCTGTCACCCAGGCTGGAGTACAGTGACATGATCTTGGCTCACTGCAACCTCCGCCTCCCAGTTTCAAGTGATTCTTATGTCTCGGCTCTTGAGTAGCTTGGATTGCAGGCATGCACCACCATGCCTGGCTAATTTTTGTATTTTTAGTAGAGATGGGGGTTCGCCATGTTGGCCAGGCTGGTCTTGAACTCCTGACTTCAAGTGATCCACCCACCTTGGCCTCCCAAAGTGCTGGGATTACTGGTGTAAGCCACCGTGCCCAGCCAAGAGCTTGGAATTTAAATAGGCTCTTTGGAACACATTTTCATCAGGTTTAAAATAAAAGCTGACCTTGTTGAAACAGTGAAGCTACTCAACAATCTTTGGGATCTGTTTTGTGGAGCCAACATTTTCTGAAGGTTGAATTCATACTTCCATTATTGTAAATACAAGATTCCACTCTAGAAGTTCTGATGGTACATGCCTGGGTTTCCTTTCCTAAGCGCATGTAATGCTGCTTCTAGTGGTCTCTAAACCAGCCCTACAACATTGCTGGGACTGCAGGCATGCATCACCATGCTAGCTGATTTTTTTTTTTTTTTTTTAATCTAAAAACAGGATCTCCTTATGTTGCTTAGGCTGATCTTGAACTCCTAGGCTCAAGTGATCCTCTTACGTTGGCCTCTGAAAGTGCTGGGATTACAGGCATGAGCCACCATGCCTAGTCTCCAACAGCTTCAATTGACCATTCTTCCCCTTGCCAGGTGAAGCTGTCTTCATCTCAAAGGACTTTGAAATAAAAGATACTTGGGCAGATTTCAAAATGATGGGATTACAAATGACTTCATTATAAATGCTGTTATGTCTGCCTCAAGTCTGACATCATTTTGTGAAGCTAATGATCTATCTCAGGTTATGAATCTGGCAGCTTTTCATCGGACAGGTGCCTCAGAAAATGTGGAGGCCATTTGTAGTTTCTTTTCTTTCTCAAGGAGGGTAGCCTAAAACCTAAAGTAAGTCTGGAAACTGGGAAATCAAATAGTGTCTAGGTAACATGTATTTATTTCATCACACCAAAAGTATTCATAGGAAGTTCCTTGAAGGAGGTCAATTCTTCAGTTCATGGCATGTGACGATCCATCCTTCCTTAATGATAGGAAGATAAAGTAAACCCAAAATGCATGTGTTTTTTCCAAAATCAAAATTTTGTCCAAGGAATGCTGGTAGAGAAACCACTGTCCTTCACTTCAACTTTTCAATTAGAGAAAGGGGTAATGTGTGCTGTCAGTGTGAAAGTATATACAATATGTTTGTCCGGCACACAACAGGAGAGTGAATAGGAACATCTGGCCATCGCCTCTGTGAAATTGCATAGGCATCTGTTTACCTCTCGGCTCTGTGACACTGATGGTTTTGAGCTTAAAATACACAGAATGCTTTATCTGTGGCCTAATTTACATTGCTGAATACAACTACTTGAATCAGAAATCACTATCCTCAATCTGAGCATTTTTCTCCCTGTGATTAGTGGGAATGTGAATATTGTTCCAAAGACCATGATGATTTTGCCCTTTTGGACTCAGAAACACAGAGGTACGCTCTGTGAACCTTTTCAGTTATGTTTTGTTAAGAATTAATCACCACAATCAGAGAAATGTGATTAAATATAAAAGAACTCAGGACAAAAATAAGGCACATGGGAAGTCAATTTCATAAAGTATTTGCAGATGCAATTACATAAAGTATTTGCAGAGGCATGGATGTAGCAATGACAAGATATTTAAACTAGTTTGTATATTTAATCTCTCATTCGAGTTGCTTGTTTGTAAAAAATCATGTAATACGTATATTTTCAGGCTTTTCCCAGTGCTTTCCACCCACTTCTTTGACTTTATAATATCTAATAAAATATTGGGAACATTCCCTAACCCCTCCATTGAGTGTGAAATTCATAAAGTATTTTGGTATTTCTGTTTTGTAGCACATAAAATGCCTGTGTCAATATCTGTGGCAGTTGAGAACACACACTAATTAATGGATATTTGGAAGACAAATATCTAGTTTGAGAGAAAATACATAATAATTTTCATTTAAAAGTGGATTGAGGGAATATTAGGACAGTATAGTAAATATTATAATATTTTATTATGGAAAGAAAGTGGCTTTGGGCATTAAAATTATTTCAGACCTTTACTTTTCCTTAGGTAGTTCAAGAACAGGTTCACGTTTGTCATGAGCTTGAACCTCAGTGAAGGAATTACTTTTAATCTGTGGATTAATAGATGTAGTATTCAGTGCATGCCTACAACATGGTAAGTACTGTCGAGAGTGAATGAAAAGATATACCCTAGGGAGCTGACACTAGTTACATGAGGCAGGCAACTGGTTCTTTTACTTTCATATGATTTTTGTGTTGTATATGGTGTGAGGTGTGCATGTGTGTCTGTGTATGTATATGTACACAAAATGTATTTTTTTGTTTATGTTGCTGAAAACCAGTAGAGGGACATTTTAAGTGTCTGCATCGTCTGTGATTATTATTACCTTTTAATTATGGGTGCCCTATCCCTTTCCCACTTTAACTTGGGGCTCTTGAAGAATGTGGGTATTGAGAGGAAGAATGGGGGATTGTGAAAGGCTCTCAAATTGAGATCATAATCCATTTAAGTCATCATTGCTACTCTGTTCCAGGTTGAAATTGTAACACACACTGGACCCCACAGACGTCTGTGGATGGGTCCACAGTTCCAGTTCAAAACCATCCACCCCTCAGGCCAAACCACAGTCATCTCATCCAGTTCATCTGTGTTGCAGTCTCATGGTCCAAGTGACACGCCACAGCCTCTTTTGGATTTTGATACAGATGATCTTGATCTTAACAGTCTCAGGTAGGAAATGGGAACTAGGGAGTGATTTGAATGAAAGGATTAATATGTTCATGTGAAATGAACATCATACATAATATTTACTTTTCCCCTTTTGACACAGTATCATTTTGCAGTCCACATGTACTGTTGCATGTGATTCACTGTCATGACTTGGGATGGTATATAGGATGTCATATGGGATTACATTACATGAAATAAATATTTGTTTTTCAGATTATATTTTCCCTAAATCTAATACGGCACTTTTCAAGCAATTCCACTTTTTGATGCTTTGCTCCAACTGCCTGAAGTCTGATTATGTACGCTTTTCCTGATCTTTCTGAAGTTGGCATCACCTTTCAATTAAATTTCATCTGTGATTTTTATCTAATCCTGTATCTTCCTTCTTTTCAATTATAAAAAGTTTTTGAATGGAAAAATGTTGGTATAAATCCAGTTATATACATATATTATTTTTATAATACATGTTCTCTCATCCTTACTTGTAGGAATCCTAGTACAGGTGTACAAATTATGCTTTTTATTTTTAGGTTTTTTTTTTATTGCAACTCAGTTTTGACTTGCAGTCTTAAGTTTGCTTAGCAGTTTAATTTGTTATATCAAGACTTGACACATTAGGGTACAACACATAATGAAGGACTCAGTCTAATATAATATATTCTCCCTTTTCTTGTCTTCTCTTTAAAAAATGTTCTTTAGTGTATCTTGAATGTAAAACACCCTCTGACCTCTTTCTTGCACACCTTTAAAAAAATAGTGGAAATATGTTTTTGTCTTCTTTTTGTCAGTAGCAATAATAAATTTTTATTACAAAACATAAATTGCAAAGTTGGATTATGCCTGATATATCTGTTTAGAAAATATGACACATATTTATTGAGTACCTATCAGGGACTCTACTAAGTGCTAGGAGATATTCCTAGAGTACGGCCAGTTGCCTACTTTGGTCTCAGTTGCAACTCATCATCTCATTCCCTAATCCTGTTCACACCCCATTATTTCTCATCTCTTTATTTATTTTTTATTCTATTTTATTTTATTTTTTGAAACGGGATCTCACTCTGTCACCCAGGCTGGAGTGCAGTGGTGTGATCTCTGCTCACTGCAACCTCTGCCTCCCAGGTGCAAGCAGTTCTCCTGCCTCACTCTCCCAAGGAGCTGGGACTACAGGCACATGCCACCATGCCCAGCTAATTTTTTGTATTTTTAGTAGAGATGGGGTTTCAGCATGTTGGCCAGCCTGGTCTTGAATTCTTGACCTCAAGTGATCCTCCCGCCTCAGCATCCCAAACTGCTGGGATTACAGGCATGAGTATTTTAATTTTTTTGAGACTGAGTCTCACTTTGTCACCCCAGGGTGGAGTGCTGTGGTGCAATCTCAGTTCACTGCAACATCTGCCTCCCGGATTTAACCAATTATCCTACCTCGACCTCCCAAGTAACTGGGATTACAGGCACACACCACCATGCCAGGCTAACTTTTATATTTTTAGCAGAGATGGAGTTTCACTATGTTGGCCAGGCTGGTCTTGAACTCATGACCTCAGGTGATCTGCCTGCCTCTGCCTCCCAAAGTGCTGGGATTACAGGCATGAACCATGATGCCTGGCCTCATCTCTTTAAATGACTCTTGAAATCTCTCCTTTCACACATGCCACATCTAATTCTTTACTAACATGTCATTTCTATTCAAAATTGACATCTAGAAACCTTCCACTCCTCTCCATTCCCAATGCCAGCACCCTAGCAATGTTTCACAGACTCCTAACTGGTGTCCCTTTTTGAATTTTTGCTTTCCCCTGACTGATATATCTTCTTAAAGAAGGATTCATAAAGATGAATGCATCTCCTTTCAATACCTTGTTTAGTATTTTTCATTTGTTTAGTCTGCTTTGTGTTTTATTTCTTTCTTCTCTACATTTTTGGTTTTTTGTTCCAGCATAATTCCTCCAGCTTTCTAAAGATGACATTTTTTGACCAAGATGTCAGGTAATAATGACAGAATACAGTGACAGTGTAAGACCAATTTTCAGTGGTACTAATGATAAAATATGGTCTAGATTAGGACCTCAAGCCATGGTCAGGTAGTCAATTCTTTTCAGTCCTCAGCTTAGTGATTCAGTGTACTTGTGTTTACAATAGTCATTTGGTTATTTAAATGTTAATAATAAAGCATTTAAAATAACTAACCAATTTATTCTCTTTACAACTGGGTAACACATTTAGTTTCTTTGCAAAACCATGCACAAGAGACTGTCTCCTTTTTTTCTAGTGACTGACTAGCTGCTACTGTAAAGCTCTGCTTTTTCTTAGGAGGTCTCTGCCCCATTGTTTTGTGGCCTCCTTCAGCTTTCTTTGTTACTCTTTTCCTCAGATACAGTTCTTCTATTAAGATCTTTCTAACTCCCTTCTTTTAAAAGTAGATACAGTGCCAGGTATGGTGGCTTATGCCTGTAATCCCGGCACTTTGGAAGGCTGAGGCAGGCGGTTCACAAGGTCAGGAGATCAAGACCATCCTGAGACCATCCTGGCCAACATAGTGAAACTCCATCTCTACTAAAATACAAAAAATTAGCCTGGTGTGATGGCGCAAACCTGTAGTCCCAGCTACTTGGGAGGCTGAGGCAGGAGAATTGCTTGAACCTGGGAGGTGGAGGTTGCAGTGAGCTGAGGTTGTGCTATTGTACTACAGCCTGGCAACAGAGTGAGACTCCACCAAAAAAAAAAAAAAGGGAGGCCGAGGCGGGCGGATCACGAGATCAAGAGATCAAGACCATTCTCGCCATGATGAAACCCCGTCTCTACTAAAAATACAAAAATTAGCCGGGTGTGGTGGCATGCGCCTGTCGTCCCAGCTACTCGGGAGGCTGAGGCAGAAGAATCGCTTGAACCCAGGAGGTGGAGGTTGCAGTGAGCCGAGATTGCGCCACTGCATTCCAGCCTGGCGACAGAGCAAGACTGCGTCTCAGGAAAAAAAAAAAAAAAAGTAGATATAGCTATGTTTTCAGAATCCTTAAGAATTTTCCTCAGAGACTTTCCCTTTGTTAATAATACTAAACAACTCCCTCAATTTTTAAAAAATATCTAAATGACTTTAAGTTGTTTATGTTTGATTAGAATATTATCCTGTTTACTGGATGCATATAACTTTAGAAACCTTTATATTGAGCAACAGGTTCATAAATTTCTATTAATTGCATCTGTAATTTATATTTTAAATTTTCAGCAGGTAAGCTTGGTTGGGACCTTGGCTAAGACCCTACAGCACAGTTTTTATGGGAAATTTAGATTTAACTCTCATCAATTTTAAGTCCTTTTTAGTACCACCATTTCTCACCCAGCATCCAATTAGAAATCCAACTATTGAAATTCTCCCCATTCTCATCTCTACAAGATCTCTATCTGATGTGGACCCTTAATGTATTCCCCTATCTGAGCTTTTATTATTTATGTCATTCGTATTTACACTTTAGTTTTATTTTGCATTGTCATGAATTTCATGTGCTGTGTCATAGATATAGACATTGGTTGGTGTTTTATTTTGTTTCTGCTTGTTCCCATAGTAATTCTGACATGCAGTTAATATTCAGTAAATACTTACTGTATGAATGAATTACCAGAAATGCATGCATATATTGTTGTAATAAGTTTTTGTTTTTCTAAGTTGCCTGGGACTTTCAGGTCTTTTTAATCTTCCAGATATTTTTATGTTGATAGGATTTATTCTAATGCAGCTAGAAAGATACACTCAGCATTTATATGTTTATTATTATTATTATTATTTTTTTTTTTTTGAGTTGGAGTCTCACTCTCTTGCCCAGGCTGGAGTGCAGTTACCCAATCTTAGCTCACTGCAACCTCTGCCTCCCAGGTTCAAGTGATTCTCCTGGCTCAGCCTCCCAAGTAGCTGGAACTATAGGCGTGTGTCACCACGCTTGACTAATTTTTTTGTATTTTTAGTAGAGACAGGATTGTACCATGTTAGCCAGGATGAATCTTTATTATACTTTAAATGGTATGTAGTAATTTGCACATTTACTGAGGTTCTCATTGATTTTTATGTGCTAGTTGGTAATTTTATAAAGGTAGCTCAGTTAGTAGTGACCCTAGCTAGCTCCCCCTCCCCCAGCCACAGTACACGTTTGTTATCCTATGCTTCCTGTCAGATATAAGTAACTTTCATTAAGGATTTTGAATTACATATTGCTGCCTTTTATGGAAAACATTAATAGCTATGGTGTTATTCATGAATTTCAGGATTCTCAAAACTCTTCATGTGTGTCCCTTGGAAATGGCAAATTGTATCCCTTTAAATTAATGTTAGCTTTTCAGTCCCTTCCTTAAAAATCTGTGGAATAACACACATAGATAAGTTAGAATGGGTCTGGAGTGTAGAGGATGTTTGTAGTGCTTTATCCTTGTGCAGCAATTAGGGACTACAGCTCCCTGTTTGTCTTGTTTTAGGATGGATGGTTCTTTAATGGATTGTGCTACTCCAACATTCCTGATTTAAGGTCTTTTGTAGCAAGCGACAGTTTTGATGCCAGTAACATATATGAATTAAATTAAATTGCATTGCAGGATCCAGCCAGTCCGCTCTGACCCAGTCAGCATGCCAGGGTCATCCCGTCCAGTCTCTGATCGAAGGGGAGTTTCCACAGTGATTGATGCTGCCTCAGGTAGAAAACCACCTCTCAAATGTTTATTGGGCAGTCCTGTGCTTTTAAACTAATTTTCTCGTACAATGTAGAGGATGACATTTATTTGCTTTCTTCTTTATTTTTTTGTTTTGTGGTGTGTATGCATTTTAATGCAGTACTGTGCCTATATTTGTTGCTGAACAATGCCATGCTTTTAAGCATTCCTAAGGTTGGTGAAAGATGTAGTGGAGTTGGCACTTGATTAACTGTAATGAACGTAGTATTGAAGGCTACAGGGTTGATGACTGTTTTGCCTTTGATCACTGAAATGTGGAGAAGCAACCTTGACAGAGAACGTAAATACAATATATGGATTCAATTTACTCAACCTGTTGAGTATCAAAGTGCCTAATCTGTGGAAGTAGAGACAGTCCAAGTGCTATAGCTTAAATGATTTTATTATCAAAAGCATGAAGTTTAGAAATTCATTAACTTAATTCTGGTCTATCACAGTTATTCATTTCTTATCCTTGGAAACAAGCTATGAATATGTATTATTAGTACAGAGGAGGAGATCTTTGCCTTTGTATGTGATAGTTGCTCCATTAGTATGATAAAACTGTTTTCCGCCACGCCTGCTAAATAGTAGAACTGTCTGTAGTGATATATTTTCTCATCTCTGAGTCGAGTGTTAAAATAAGGACAGTGATGCCCTGCTTTCAAGTGCAGCTGGGGAGCATCTGAAGAAAGCACACAGCAGGATTTTGTCCAAAAATTCTCTCTCAAGTAGAATTATTAAATACTCAGCATTAGTCAAACAGTTGAGTCAGAGAGGATTTTAATCTATGGCGATTTCAAAATCCCTAGAGACTGCTGATTTGATTGAGGCTTAAACTGTGAAAGAAAATGGAAACAAACACAAAACTGATCTGTGAAGGTCACTTTAAAACAACCAAAGTTTCTGTCTGTGGATACATTTTTAAGTTTCAAAGCTAATGGGTTTTATACATATTCTTAACTTTCTGATTTTTTTGGTTAGTGGATTGTACTCTGCATCTTACTGAGCTGCCCCATCTAGGGCTATGCCTTCATTTTTAATGTAGACTATTACTTTAGAGGACTCATACTTGTTCCTAATGCTCAAACTTGGCAACCATGGTTGTCCCTTGGAAATGAACATGGAAATGTGTAGAGTCTCTATCATTGCTTCCCTGTGTTGAATGAGATATCAAGATAGGAACTTAAACAATAAATCTTTCTTATAGTCACATTCTGAGAATGCTAAGAGATGTGCTCATTTGGAATGATCATTTGCAATTGTGAATCCTGGAAATGTTACAGATTTTAACCCGAAGTATTTTATTCAAGATTACAATAGTAGGCCTTGACTGGGCTTTTTAAACCTTCTTAAACTACCAGATTACTGATGTTTTATTGTCAAGTGACTAGCCACTTGGAACACAGGCTGCCAAAGCAGTTACCTTGTATTATTAAAAGTGAACATATTCAATACTGTATTCTGAGGTAACATGCATTTTCTTTTCCTTTTTTTTTTTTTCTTTTGAGACAGAGTCTTGCTCTGTCATCCAGGTTGGAGTGCAGTGGCACAGTCCCAGCTCACTGCAACCTCCATCTCCCGGGTTCAAGCAATTCTCCTGTCCCAACCTCCGGAGTAGCTGGGCCAGGCGCCTGCCACCATCCCTGGCTAATTTTTGTATTTTTAGTAGAGACAGGGGTTTCACCTTGTTGGTCAGGCTGGTCTCAAACTCCTGACCTCAGGTGATCTACCCGCCTCAGCCTCCTAAAGTACTGGGATTATATGTGTGACCCACTGCGCCTAGCCAACACTCTCTATTTATTGTGTAGCAATCTTAGCTGTATGTAAAGTCATCTGATGCAACATGGGAGGAGCTTCAATGAACTTTATTTAAATCCTTTTGCAAGAAGAGTTTTTAAGTTGATTTTTGAATAAGGAATTAGAGCCTACATGTAAATAATCTGATTTGTAAGTAGTCCTAAAATTACTTAATTTGCATCAGAGATACACTCTATGAGTTTGCAGAGTATTGTTCTATCACATTGAACCTCTTTGCCTGAAAGTACCAATCTTTTGAGTAGGAAAGAACTTCTTGATGGCTAAGTTTTATTATTATTTTTCTAGGCTTATTTTCATTCCAGGAAGCCATGGTACCTTTCTGAAAGACAGCCAAAACAGTGAAACATATATGCTGCTTTCTTTAACTTTGAGCTAAAGAAGCCCCGTAGATAAAGAATTGGACTTTTATGAGTAATTCTCTCTTCAGCTACCTTCAAGGTTCGGATCCCTTTTGAATGAAAAATGTATGTCAACACATTTTTTGAGTGAATAATGTTTTGTTGTGGAATGTTCATCCACTTTAATAGGACCAACGGTTTAACGGAATTACTTTCTATGTCTGTGGAAAACAACATCTAGGCTAACAAAAATCAAGGTAGCAAGTCCAACAAGATTGTGGCTAAATGATTTGAGTTCTTTATGGAAACAAATTTATGGGAAAATTTTGTTTTAGGTTCTTCTGTTAAAAAGAGGCTAATAAATTTTTATAATGGCTCCTGAACCAGGAAGTGTGCCTCTGATTATGATCCATGCATTGGAGTCAGCTGCACATTGGGGAGATCCTTATCTGGAGGTTTCATTGCCTGTTACTTAGAGATATGACCAGGGTGGCACATCTTCTATTGGTCTTCATTGCTTTGTATTATCTTCAAGCATTTTATATGACTTCATGTATTGGCTTTTGAGTTATTCCTATGGCACATGTTACACTTAACCCTCTATTTTAGTGACAGTTGTTGCTCTGTCTAACCTTGTGGTGGTATCATTATTTTTCATGTACTTACTTTTTTCACAGATGTAGAATTTAATGTGATATAATTAAATCCTTTGACAATTATAACAGTTTTTAAAGTGAAAATATTTTATTTAAATCTTGGGCCTGCAGTTTAATTTTTAGATATCTGTATTAATCTAACAGTGTCATTCCATTGAAACTAAAAGAGATGAGCAGAATGTGCTACTTTTACCATGTAATGGTTTTTTTCACAATTTCTTAATCATCTGGTAATCCCTGGTTTACTCTTTTGCAAAGAAACACATTGCATAAGATACATATTTTTAAATTATTAATCTTGGTGATTTATACGCAGGGTAAATTCTATGCCTTTAGACACCTATGAACTAGCTTCTTACCATCTCTCTATAAAATACATATAGAGTAGTTTCAATTTTCAGCAGTTCAATAACTGCTTGATGAATAGATGTTATTCCCATCACATCTGTTTCATCTTGTCTTTGGTGATTCAAGCAGCACCATCCCAGCAGGGCACAGTGGCTCATGCCTATAATCCCAGCACTTTGGGAGGCCGAGGAGAATGGATCACCAGAGATCAGGAGTTTGAGACCAGCTTGGCCAACATGGTGAAACCCTGTCTCTACTAAAAATAAAAAAATTAGCTGGTGTAGTTTCATGTGCCTGTAATCCCAGCTACTCAGAAGGCTGAGGCACGAGAATCGCTTGAACCCAGGAGGTGGAGGTTGCAGTGAGCTGAGTTTGTGCCAGTGCACTCCAGCCTGGGCGACAGAGCAAGACTGTCTCAAAAACACAAAACAAAACAAAACCATCCTACCTAAAATTTGGTTGTGTGGGGGAGGCAGTTAAATAATTATAAGATTTTCCCTTCTTGGCTGAGGAGATCATTCTGGAAATGGACACATTATAAGATTTTTAACCTAAGACACAGGCTACCCAGAACAAATGGGATTTGAGGCAGTTGCTCACTTTTTCCCATGACCAGCTAATGAACAACAGTGTCTGTGAATCACTGATAGTATTTCTAGCCAAAGCACTGCATCAATTTATTCATTTTTTTTCCCTGTATGCTCATTTTGGCTAGATAGCTAAGAATTTCTTCCCATCGTTTGTACCTTATAACATGTGCTCTCTTTTGATGAAGGTGTAGGACCTCTAAAGAGAAAGAAAGGTAGCTGTCAGTGTCTTGTTGGAACTTTGTTTTCCAGATTGGTGACTATTCTTGTTCCAAAACTTGAAGGCTGCACCTGCTAAATAAGCTTTCCTTGCTTCTGCATCATCAAATCAAAGAGCCTACAAATTTCATTCACTGTGAGTTTGTTTGTCCTGATTTGTAGTTGTACTGTGGAAGTTGATGTTTACCAACAAAGAACTCAGATAGTTGAGATTGAAAGACAGACTTATGCCTGACTTATATGCAGAGCAGATATCTTTATCAAACTCTAATAAAGAAAAAATTTTATAAAGTTCTCAAGTGTGGTGGAAGCAGCATTTGTCTACATGCCTGAGGAAGATGGTAGTATGAGAAGTTCAATCGTGACAGATAAGTAAAATGACTTCTTATCCTTCTGAGCAGCCTTGGATCATAAGGTATTAGTGTTACATCAAGCATTTCAGTAAATAGGGACCAAGTTGCAGACTTCATGTTTTTTGTTGTTCTTGACTCAAGAGAAATACTACTATTGTACAATTGAAGTAATAAAAATAATTAATTTAGGAGATACATTTTGAGCACCTAATTTTTCCCACTATCAAGATAACTTGTTTATTGAAGAAAATTATACACTTAAAATTCCAAACTAGTTTCGTTTGATTGATTTTGTAATAATCATTTATGCCGACTTTATGTATTTAGCATTTGGTACATCACCTTCATAAAAACAAATAGTACTAGAGAAGTGTGATTAGATATTTTGTCTTGCAGTCAAATCTATGCTGGAAGGACCTTCTTACAGAGGCGTGCTTTTATCATTTAGGGATTTTGTTAATGTACTGGGGGAAGAGTATTCTAAGATTATATTTCACTGTATCAACAGTTACCATTTCAATCTGAGGCAGACTTAGATATTATATCTTAAAGGCTATCAGAGGCACAGAGATACTGGTGGTAAAAAGAAAGAGATTTGTGAGAGACACTGTTCAGTCTACAGTGGTGTGGACACATAGCTCCATGATCGCAAAGCTAGAACT